GTGCGGTGGGGGGGGGGCGCCCCCCCCCTGCCGGTATTCACGGTACCCCCGCGCTACGGCGGCCGGGAGGCGCCGGCGGGGAGGCGCGGGGTGAGGGCTGGGGAGGGGCGGTGAACCCCTCCGCGCGGGGGGGAGGGCCAGCGAGAGCAAGCGGCGGGTCCCCGAGCACAGCTAATTCCGTGCCCCGCGGCCTTTGCGTGGTTACCGTCCGTAATTGCAGATAATTGGGGCGAATTAATTACAATTACCGATGGAAGCCAGAGGAATCTATGGCAGTGCTGGTACAGGCAACAGTGGAAGCGTTGTGTTTTCAAAGGGCTTGGTTTTAAACGAATGGGTTGAGCTCCCTGTCACCGGTTTTAAAAGTTTTGGAAAATGGCGGGGAAAAAAATTGAGTGGGATGGGAAGCGCCACGAGTATTGGCGGTGCGCGTGGAAAGATTAAATGTGTTTTAGGAAGACGAAGCAAGCTGGTTAACCCGCTCTCAGTAGCGGGAATAAAATAAAATGAGCAGCTAAAACCTTGTAAATAATTAGATGCTACAAATACAATGCACGTGGAGATTAAAGGCTAAACAACATATGCTTGAAAAAGAGACACACACACACACACACCCCCCGCAAACCGGGTGTTCCTTCTTGAGAGGGCATCGCAAGATCTGCTTTGGTCAGCTGTCGATAGAGTTCGTGTCACGTACTTGAATTTCTCTGAGGAATTTGACTCCAGTGTGACCTGAGAATTAATTAAACAAAGGTGGTGGTGTATGGCAGCAAGGCAAAATTTAAGAATGAGCTTAGGAACAAATCGTGCATCCTGATCATTAGTTGGAAGATGTAAAGGAGTGGGCTAATTCCAACCATCTCCACTTATCAGTTCTTTGTTCGAATACTAGTACTGACTTAAATTATCCAAAAGAATATATATAACCTTTGCTGTTAAAGTTTACTGTTGGCAGACAGGCGAGGTGATCAGTGACACGGCTGTGGCCTGGTCTGACCTTCCTGGTTAAATGGTTCCGAGTGGGAGAAGGATCTTAGTATAATGGAAAAGACTGGGTCAAGTCTAGAAACGGTGATAGCTTCCTGCCGCACACACAGAGGTGGCAGAGAGTGACTTGCACGGTTTGGTTGCATCAGTGATGCAATTTGAACTTTGCTGTTGTGGGAAGAGTTGATTTGATTGTTGTGGGGTTTTTTTCTTTTGTTAAAGAGAATCACATTGGAGTGGTCATGTGTGTGCACGTGGTGTAGTTAAATAGGCCACTGGAACATAATCTCCAGTTATAGTAGCTCTCAAGTAAGATATGAAAATACTGGAGAGTTCAGAGGAGGCCACAAAAATGCTCTGGTTCTGGAAAACAAGCCATGTAACGGACTTAATGAACTCAGTTTATACAGGCACATCCAAGAGAAGAGGGTTAAGTGACTCAGACACTGTGGAAATCCATGCCTGTGGGAAAGTTATCCGATAGCTCAATATTTTCAGTCTTTCCAACAAAGACATAATGAGATCCCGTAACTGAAAGTCAAAGCTACACAAATTCTTTGAAATATGACACAGTTTCCCAGCAGTGATGGAGGTTAATTATAGAAATAGTTTACGGGAGAGGTTAAAGGCTTGCCATTATTTGGAGGTCTCAAGCTGAAACAATAACAATTTTGAAGATGGGCTTAAACCTGAAATCTTGGGCAACTTGCTGGTGCAAGGGTGCCCATGTGGTTTGGGGAAAATCGGGGAGATTATCAGTGAGTCACCTTCTGGCACTCTGTACTTCGTCTGCTTGGCTGCAGAAATAGCAGGAATTTTTTAATGTTGCTTAAAGGGCTGTAGTTCTGAATTAAGATAGTTTTAAGCAATGTTATGCTTTTGGATGAACCTCTGCTTCAAGGGGGAATTCCACATGCTGTTCTCACAGAGGAAAGTTAGATTAAAGTAGTGTGTTTCTTCCTCCACTGTTGTTTAAATCATCAGAGCCTGGCCACAGAGAGCAGACAAACAGGTGTGCTACACAAGTTCGGAGACTCCCCTCCCTCGTCTGCGACGTCTTCCCCACATGTTCACACTCCGATCCAGATTCGAGGTCAGGAAGGGATTTCCAGCAAAGTCTGATTTGCGAAAGCATCATATGAGTTTTTCACCCTCGGGAAGAGCATAGTTTTCAGGCTGGGACTTTCTACTGGCACTGTTTTTATCTCATCAGGTTCTTGTAAGGGGATTTTGGGATCTGTTTGTCTCAGTGTATTGTTTCAATAGGACAAGAGTGCTTTCAAGGTAGGTTTTATAAAAGGGTATTGGATGATAGCGTCAACTAGAGGATCAGTTGACTCACGCTGAAATTATGACTTGTTAATTAAAATAAATAAATAACTCTCCTTCTGCTTCCATGAATAGTGAAACTCTGCCTGTTACATAGCGTTGTGCGTTTTGGTGTGCTCTGAGGGCTCGATGACCCCCTGGTTTTCTACAGAAGCAGGCAGTGCCTGCCCGTGGCTGCCTGTCAGCTTTGTGGCACAAGCGTCACTCGCAGCCGTGACTTCTGCTTCCATGTTTTTTCTCACTGTATGCGCAAGCAATAGAGCAGGAATCATCAAACTTTAGCCTGTGGAGTAGAACCAGCAAAATACACATTCTGGAATGTAAATGATCCATCAGAAAACCTCTGTTTGGAGTTCTTAAGGCAATAATGCTGTCTGTTAGAAATCATAATGCTCACCTGCACAAAGTTTTGCTGGTGCTTACAGCTTAGCAGTTGCAGCAAACTTTTCTCAGCTCTCTTTGTTGGGGGAGTTGACCGTGCTACTCCTGCAAACACCCCAGACAAATGCGTGGAGCGCGGAGCACGCGCCGGCGTTCAGAAGGACTAAACCGCAACATTTCCAACTGTTCCTTTTCCAGTGACACACGTTGGTCCTTAACGTAAGCCATGGCAAAGCTGAAACAAGTGTAATTTCTGTTCTCCGAAGGCAGCTTGGAGAGAGGTAGAAGCGGGTGGTCTCTAAACACGCTCGGCATTGCGAGTTCTCTGTTCAGCTCTGCAGGAAGCTCCGTTACCTTATGGCTTGGGTCTTAACGCAGAGGTAGGTGTGTCCATTCACAGTCGGTAAGAGGCGCAGGTCTATGCATTTATACTCTTTGACAACCAAAGCAGTTGCACCTGTGGATAAGTAATTTGACCCAAACTTGCATTAAATAACTTGCTGATGTGTGAGGTGATGTAGCCTGAGGGGATGAGGGGGCACAGGCTGTCTCTGGGCTAACTAAGATACAGTTTGACCGAGGCGTTCTGTTGGAATTATGAGTGTTCTTCTCCTGAACCAAGTTTTAATAATTTAATTCAAAAGCTAATTACTGAGCTTGTGTAGTGTGCCAGTGCCTTTAAAATATTTTCTTTTGTAACTCTCTGAGGATGCTCGGTGCTATGAGAGTCTCCGCAGGCAGCTCCCCTTTGTAGTCACGTGCATTGGAGGACGGGATGGCCATAGAGGAGCCAAGTAGTGTGTGAGAGGAATAGAGTTACCTTAACGGAAATAGGAGATACACTAAGTGCTGAACATCTTGCTGTTTCATGTTTTCATCTTTTAATTGAATTAATGTGCAATAAACTAATATGGTGTAGGAAAAACTATGGTAGATGTCTGTGATAAAAGTCTGAAAAGTTCTTGTGGGGAAAAATGAAAGAGGGGAGTAGTGTGTGTGCGTGGGATAAGGGAGGGCCAAAGAGAAACTCCAGTTAGATTTCTGTCAGAAGAGAAGTTTGGAAA